AGATGACAGGTTTCATAGATCTCATCAGCGATAAAAAGAAGGGAGGCATAAAGGAGCAGATACTAGTATACCTGCAGGCATAATGAACTGAACGAACTGTATGTATTTCAAGAGAGAAAAAAGACTCTATATCCCAATTTTTATTGTGACCCAGAGAGAAACCAATGACTTATTTATCTCAGCGCCCAACTAAATTGAGCTTTTGAAATGTAAGACAAATGATCAGGTAGATGCCGTGATATTGTGGCATAAAAAAATGGCAGGGAAGGTTGAATCAGGTCACCAGACTAGGCAAACTGTAGTTTCTTCCTCCTATGCCAAATCTATAGAGATAACAACAACAAAAAAAGCTTTTTAAAAAGAAAAGGAATCCACAACTATACTGAAAAACAAGAAGTGTTCAGAATGCCTGAAAGCAAGAAAACAGAAAAGATAAATGGAGTAAAACCACAGACCAAAACACCAAAGGAGATGATTTACCAAGAATGAAACAAGGGGCACTCTAAGCTTAAAGGTAGCTAATGCCCAGAGCGGAAATGCTGAGAGCAACTGACCTAATGGGTTCGACCAGACTCTTGTGGAAGCAGCCAGGCTGGCTAATCTTTCCACGCTTCTACTATCCAAACTCTGACCAGGCAGACAACAGAGTATCTACTCCCTAATGTAAGGGGTAAGTGTGGGCATTTAGTCCTGAGATGCACAGCAGTGTGTTCAAGGCAAACCAGAGGGTGCTCACATCCAGAAATCAGCTGGACCAAGCTCATCCTGCCCTACCTTGCAATGGCTCTTTAGAAGCATTTAGTACTTTAGAGGAAGAGTAATTAATATCCTCAGAAAGTACAATAATGGAAATATACTTCCATTAAAAAAATAGAGATCTTAGAAATTAAAATTGTGATCACTGAAATTAAAAACTCAACTGATGGGCTGAACACTAAACGGATACAGCTGAAGAGCAACTCACTGAGCCAGAAGATTCAGTTAAGTAATTCTAGAATCTAGCACAACAGAGAAAAGCCAAAGGATATACAGAAAACACAAAATGTCAAAGATCACTTGAATAGAGGACTTTTAGAAAAAGAGAATAGAGAAGGTGAACAAAGAAATACTAAGAGCAAAGACAGAAGAAAATTTCCAAGAATTCAAAAGATGATGCCCCTATTGAACAGCATTAACAGAAAAAGACCCACTCCTAAACATACTGTGGTGAAATTTTAGAACTCCAAGGGTGATAAAAATACCTAAAATAAATAAAAAAGGGGGAAAAGGATTCTAATTAAAATCCCAGTACAATCAAGGTGTGTGGATAAGTATTTCATTTGGTCAAGAGGAGTACGATGATCCCCTTCCTTTCCACCTGACCTCTGAGATCATTCCAGTCATCCAGGTAACAGCAATATCAATATGAACGTCTGGTCACCCAGGCCTTGGACCTCCCCCCTCCACTGCTGTTCACCTCCACTCGCTTCAGTGTACTATGGAAACAGCTGTTTAGATTATTGCCTGGATGTCACCAACATCTGCAAATGTTCCACTGCATTCTTCTCTGCCTATAAACCTCAAACCTATCATTCTTCCCATTCAACAGGGTTTTCAATCTCCTTAAGACTTGTAGTCCTTTGACTTCACCCTATTCCTTCATGCCATCAGGTCAGCACTGCTGATTCAAATTCCTTTCCCAATTGCCTGGATCCCATGTACATCCCTTGATCAGTTGTTAGAAACCTCCATTAATTTTTCACATACTTTTGTGCCATGTCTACTAGTAAATCCCCAACAAGACAACTTAGTGCATCATAGTCGGTCTAAACTTCTGAACTGCTTAGCCCAGTTTGACATGGCACAACCATGTAAACTGACTCTACTGCAAATATCTGACCTCTTGTCTCAACTGAGTCTTTGATGGCCTCAAAATAGTCTGGCAATTCTTTCTTCATCTCTAGTCAGTTCCTATGTCCATTCTTCATAGACGCTGTCCACACCAAATCATCACCATTTTTCAAAGTTTTCTAGCTGCTCCCAGTGCCCCTCACTCTCTATAAAGAACCCAATATATGATCAGGCTTTTCTTAAAAAGATTTATTTGAGCTATTTTATTAGTATACAGTGAAATATTTTGAACATTAAGATATAATAGGTTAGAAAAAGTATTTTCATCTATAAACAATAAAATACCATCTTCTCCTTAATCTCTGAGATGAATTCATCCTTCCAACTGCACTTCAGTGTCAATCACCCTCTGCCTGAAACTTCCTCCTGCCTTGGCTTCATCCACATCACTCTTCTCTTTTGGTCTTACCCCTTCTCCTGACCTCACTCCCTCTGCCTCCTTCACCAGCTTCTCTGCCAACATGCTAGTATGCTTCAGACCTCTTTTTGCTATAACATTCTCCCTAGGTAATCTCATCTACTCCCACAGCTTCATTTATTTCAGCCATATGAGGATTACTCCCTCAATTACATCCAGTAACCCAGGATCAAATATCCAAATACTTATGACACCTTTACCAGATGTCCCCTTCATACCTCAACCTCAGTGTTTCAAACCAAACTCATTAACTTTACCCATTCATCTGCTTCTCTGCATTCCTCTTTTGGTTTATGTAAATATCATCCACCTAGTTTCCCAAGACAGAAAAATTAAGTCACCTTTGACTCTTCCTCTTCCTTAACCTTCACACCTAAGTCACCAAGTTCAGATGTTTTTATTCCAAAATTTATCTCAATTTGTCCCTCACTCTTCATTTCTAATGTTACTACCTATCTCATCTCTTTCACCCAGACCTTCCCCCTTACCTTAAAAATAACTACACCAACGAATGGAAACCTGGGCTGAACATTAGAATCGTCTGGGGAACTTTAAAAAACCCTAACACTCAGGGCATACCCCACACTGATCAGATCAGAGTCTCTAGGGGTGGGACCCGGGCACCAGCATTTTTTTTTTACAGGTCTTCATGTGATTCCAATATGAAGCCACATGAAAGAACTTTCCGAACTGAAGACATGAACTCACAGATTGAAAGTGCACATCAAATTCCAAGCAAGAAAAATAAAAACAAATCTACAATTAAAAAAATCAGAGTGAAACAAAAACTTTCAGGCTAAAGAGAAAATCATGTAAAATTTCCTGGAGTGAAAAAACAGATTGCCTACAAAGGAAAGAAAATTACACTAACAGCAGACTTATCATCTGCAACATTAGGTGACAGAAGATAATGAGTTAAAAACCTTCAAAGTACTTTAAAAGGAAAAAAAAAAACTGTGAACCTAGAATTCTACAGCCTGCTAAATTGTTCTTCAAGAAAGAGAGACTTTTTCAAACACACAAGGCTAAGATTCCACTATTCACGGACCATCACTGTAAGAATTATCTTACACAGAATATACACTATTATAAAAATAAGTGAGCCAAAAGAAGTACACAAGTATTTAACAATATTGACCAAGTCTAGATTCCACAGAAAATACAAGAAATGTATGAAATGTATGCACTATTGAGAAGTCCCAATGGCCTTGATGATGATAAAACAGCCAAGTGCAAATAAATAAATTTTACAACAGAAGTATGAGCAGGGTTCTGGGTAGTTAATTTTAATTGTTTTTGTGCTTTTGAAAAATTTAGTCCCAATTTTCAATTGTCCAAATTTCTATAACTTTAAATAATAAAAGCAAGGAAGCACTGCCAATATAGCCACGTTAAAAAATGTTTACCAGTTTTTTTCATTGCAAAAATAATAGGTGTTATATATTTATGTATTAACAAAATATCAAAACACTTTTATTTTTTGCCATAATTATCTCCTTGTTTTCCAGATGATCTGAAAGTAATTTAAGAACTCCAGTGACAGTACTTAGTTTCCTTTTATCATTTCTAGGTAAATTCAACGACACATATTAATTTTATCAGATTCACAGTACTGTATTCTAAGACTTGCCACAAAGAAGAAAAACAGACTCAATCAAGATGATAATTACACATTTAATACAGCTTGCTTTTAACAGCAGTTTTCAAAGTAAACACATCATAGACCTTATAACGTATTGAAGATTTTCTAGTGCTTATGAAGTTGATTCTAAAAATATACCTTATTTGTTCTAAAGGAATAACATTACCTGGAAAACAGAATAATAAATTATAGTAGTATGTTTACCACCAGTATAGTTAAGGTTGTAAACACATATTCAATATGAAATCCTCTTAGGATTTTCATACTTTCAGCCTGAAAACATAAAAGCAGATTAAAGTTTGGCATACAAGATCTCAGTCTGATTGCAACTGTTCTAAAACCAAAAATTTCAAAACATCTACTCAACATTCTAAGAAAACATGGGCACACACACACACACCCACATACACATACACATTCTATCACTCACTCACTGACTCCAGCATGCACACACATGTACACACACACACATGCACCCCAGAGTACTCAGAAGATTTTGCCCGTGTGTTCCAGACAATTGTCATCAATTTCAAAAATAAAAATTAGGGGGAAAAAGTTAGCTAAGAATATGAAGGTACTTCAAAAAGCTCACAGAAAAATTTAGACTCAAAACAATTTAACAATGATAACCTTTCCTGCTCATCACATACACTTCCGGTAAAATCTGTCGAAACTGAAAATTAATCTTTGGGCTCTGTCTATTAATGCAGGTTTGAAACCATTCTATGGAAGTTCGTTTTACCATGTATTAAAACATTCAAAACTGTACGAAACAACACTGAAATAGAAACTAACGTCACATTAGGTTACTTATAACTCATACTGCTGTGATTAGAAAAATAAAAAGGCACAACAGTAAGTGAAAGAGAAAAATATCAGTTTCCCATTTGCTTTTTTTTGTTTGCCTTTTTTGGTTTTCTTCTTATTTTATTTCACTAAGTTTATATATTGTTCAAAGCATTCTTATACTCTGCATAACAATAATAGAATATTTTGGCACATCAACATTGTGATATAATGCATGGTATGCTTAAAAAATTAATTTAAAAATTTCATCTATTAATCAACATTTTTAATGTAGTGCATATACATCTTACAATTATTTAAGTCAAATACATAAAGGTTTGTAACTAATTTACAGATAAAGCAATCACAGATTGCAGTAATATAAGTGTGTGTATGTATACACACATATATACCAGTCCAGGGAAAAACTGCATCCTGGCAATTTTACAGTCCAAAGTTTTGTTGGTATACCAATATTTACATGCTCTTTTCATCTTGTTTTTCTGTACAAAAGATATATTTTTGTCTTCTTCATTCCTGATGAGATTTTTCTGCAATAACTTTACATTCATACTGCAAAAATTAAAAGGTTAAAAGGTTAGCAGATTAAGATTTCTTTTGAATAGCAATTTCCAAATAATCTACATAGCTCTAAAAATGAATACTTTATTAATATGTACCAACTTTATTCTTCAAAGAATCTAAGAATTACATAATTACTAGGATTAAATGAAAAATGTGATAGAGAAAAAGATAATTCACATTCTAGAAGTGAAAGAGCCATTGCCAAAAGCAGAAGAAAGATGAGGTTTCTGCATTAAAAGCAAAGGACAGCAATCTGTGATTTAAATCAATCCTACAATCATGAAAGGAAGCAAAGTGGATTTCTTTGAGTACTCAGTAAGTTGAATCAGCAAAGGATAGGTCACAATCTTAAGGACAGGGCTGATGTAGTGATTTGGATCATTGTTTTTCATGTCACTTTATGATTTAAAGGAAAAAATCTATTACATTAGCAAAAGTTTTCAATCAAAACAATATTTTTTAAGTATAGCTATAAAAATGTAAACCCACAATTCAAAATAAAGAAAACCAATGGGATTAGGATAACTGGGTGACAAGATTATCAAAAAGAATAAAAGTAAATCACTCAATTCTCGTAGCTGGCTAAAATGGTAACAGTGATAGCACTTATTCATGAAACTGCTGTGGCCTCTGAATGTTACTCCCTAACCCTTGCCACTCATGACTGGGGTTATCAGTAATGTCCTTTTCTTTCAAAACTAAAATGGTCAAACATCTTGATTTTTTGGAGACAGTCCTAATTTATACCTATTGTAGCAACATGGTTATTAGTAGTGCCCCCTGTCACTTCTGAAACTGTCCCTTTTTGATGGAGTGGAAACCTGTAGATTAGCTAAAAAAAAAAAAATCTAATATCCTTATATGGTCAATAAATCATATTGCCCTATCCATAACACATTCCGCTTTTCTCTCCAGTGGCTCCTCAACTTTGAATACTCCAGTGATTAAATTCTTCTAAATGATTTACTTCAATGGAAGTACAAAAGAGAAATCAGACTGTTGTCTTCACAAATTGTTTTCTCTTAAAGAAAGCCTGCCATTTAGAGAAAACCAGTCATATATCTCATACAGAAAAGTGACTAAATAAGCACCAGCTTACCATCGCCAATTGTCGACCAATGTTTCCCATTGTTATGCCTCCAGCAAAAAATATGCACGGTAACCAAGAACGAACATAGAGAAAATCTGGAGATGTATATCTGGAAGAATAGAAATATTTTTAACAACCCACAGAGGAAGTGCAATGACACTTAAGATAATTACAATGAAAATAAGTTACTCTGTAGATTAAACTGGCTAATGCAATTTCAAAATGTCAATTCTGAATGCAGTTATTTATCCAGCAAACAAGCACCAAAAGGATAATACTTACTGATAAACACCATTATAGACTAGTAGTTGAGTGACCACAGTTGCCAAGAAAGCAATTCCTACTCCAAGGCCAAAACCACTTCTAGATCTATCAAAAGTCCACCACAGTCCGATGGATAGTGCAGCCAGTGTGAGAGACAACTGTATGTTGTTATCAAAATCCACTTTCTGAGATCAATGTTAAAGAATCATCTTAAAAGTTATAACCAAACAATATCACTGTCATTTTTCTAAAACAAGAGATACCACTGTTGAAAAGGCAATTAATTGCTTATTCTCAAACATTCAGTCTTTTAATATAATGTATAAGACTAGGTGGGATTAAAACTGTCTTTAGTATTTACTAAATATCGGATACACAAAGGGCATTAATTAATAGATCCTACCAACTTGTGACCCCTCCAAAAAATAACAGTCTATGTACATTCCCAATTATAAGATCAGGCCCATTATTTAAGAAATGCTTTCTTTGCTAGAAATGTAACTGGAAGCTTCAGAACATAAGTATTGCTAAAAGAGCAACTTTTGCAAAAAAAAAAAAAAAGGAAATCAGTATTACTTCTCAAACAGGTTTAGAATTACTTGAGAATCATACAGGAACTTGAAAATAGAAGAGCTGACAGCTATTTAACAGGGTACCACATTCCCTCTATGATTTACTGACAGACACATTTTATAATAATGCATTTCAGAAACAAGAGTACCAAGGACACAGTATCCCTTTCTATTATGTCAACTGTTCTAGTTTTAATTTGTTGAGGATAAAGCCTTGAAGTGAACATTATCTTGCAACCTGCCAAGCTATTTGGTGCCTGAGACTTTCTGGTACAGGACAGTTCGCTCAAATGATATTTTATTTCCTTCACCTACTTAAGCATCTATTCACAAACGTACAGCCCTTTTCTACTCCAAAATCTCTGGACAAAATGAAGCTTTACAAATTCAATTTTCTCATTTCTTTGATAGAAGATTACACTAAAGGAATTAATTTCAAGTGGAACATTAAAAGTGCATTATCTATGTCCCAAAGGCCACATCTTGGCTCTATAACCAGCTACTCAAGGGGAAATACATATCTCATCAAACTAACTAGCCACGCTACAACTACAGAGAAGTCCAAAAAAAATGCATATAAAGTCATTTCTTGCTTCCTTTCAACACCTGTTGTTTACCACCATTCCCCAACTCCTACCAAATTGGTATCCTGAACACCCACCTTGCTTAGTTCTCAGTATCTGACAGCTGTGTGGGTCACTCCCTCAAGGTCATTCCTTGTTTAGGCTTGATTTATCAAGAAACTTACAGTTCATGTGGATATGCTTTCCAGAAAAGCTTTTCTTATTCTTTAACTGTCATTATCATCAAACTCCAAAGAAAAGGTTTTGAGCTCTGGTTTCTCTATGCAATAAACATTGATGTAAAGAGTGAAATTTAATATTAACTGGGTTCCATCTTTGCTAACTAAATTAACCTCATTAAGAGTCAAAGCAGGGCCGGCCCGTGGCTCACTCGGGAGAGTGCGGTGCTGATAACACCAAGGCCCCGGGTTCGGATCCCACATAGGGATGGCCGGTTCGCTCACTGGCTGAGCATGGTGCTGACAACACCAAGTCAAGGGTTAAGATCCCCTTACCGGTCATCTTTAAAAAAAAAAAAAAAAAAAAAGAGTCAAAGCAAAATAAGGAGGCTTCCAGGGTAAACAAGTAAAACATATCAATCTTAAAAGTAGTACTATGTGATTTTCTAAAGTCTAAGTAACCTAATATTAAAAGTCTATGCTATAAATTTCGTAAATGTTTTGAATTTTGCTTAAAGGACAGACGAGACAGTTAAGATTGCTATATTTATGTATTTAATTGAGAGAAAAAGAAAAAAGTGAACAAAGCAAAGAATTTAGACAGTTTTTAAAATTCCAGAAAAGGCTATTTAAATTTCTCTACTAAAAACAGAAACCAAAACTGAAATGTCTGGGATAAAAAGGTCTAATCCGCCGGACAGAGAGGAATTTACACACTTACAGGGATCCTGATTAGGAGAAAAAGACATTCCTAGACTTGAATCAGGATCTCTGGGGTCTGGTCTCAGCTCTGCCACAACCTGGCAGTATGAATGACTTAGCAAATTACCTAACCTCCCCAGCTTCTATTTATCTTATTATCTTTACAATGAAAATGTGAATCTAGATGATTTCTAAGTTCTTTTCTAGAGATAATATTCTATGATTTTATCTTTTTAAGCCTCCTAGCCACTAAATTTTTAATAAAATCCTAAATCTCAAAAAGTTCACCAAAATAAATATGTTGGGAAATTCTTGGATACAAATGGAAATGGAAAACCAAAATAATAAAAGCCACTGAGGGACTTCCAAATTCAGAGACCCGCAAAGGCCCACACAACTGGACTCAGGAAGGCAGACATGTTTTCAGAATCTAGGGCCCTGCTTTTTCCTGTGGTTTCTGTCCCCAAGGTTCCTCAAAATACTTTAATATTTTTTGGAAAAGACACAGGAATCTACTTTCCACATGATCCACACTCTCTCCAGCTAAATTTTCCAGCCCTGAGCCCAGTGCCCAGTTACAAGAGCAAACTTTTGGCATCCTGAGTCACACCTCCTGCTCCTTCCAGTACCCAAGCCTCCTGCTATCTTCACTATCTAAACCTCATTGTCCAGAAAAAAGACAGGACTAGCATTTCCCAGATCCTATTCTACAAAGGAATGTCAGAGAGGGTGGGGAGGAGGTAGAAGAGAGGAAGTAGGGAGGATGACAGCATGAAAACCTTATGAGGGCAGAAAATTTGTTCTAGGGGTGGCCTTTTTTTTTTCTAGGAATAGAAGGTAGAGGGAGAAGGGAAATAGGGGTTTCCTTACCTTTCTAGCAAGGACACTATAAAAATACTCATTAATCACTAAGTAACATGTCAGAATCCTCAAATGATAAAACATTAAAAATATGTACCTTAGGAAAAATAAGTTATTTTTGGCCAAGAGATGAGTTAGATATTTCTACTTATGCTGCCACCTTTAAGAACATTTACGTGGTTTGTTGGTGTTGGGTAAAATAAATAAATGACAGTATTCATTTCTTTAAAAATTAGCTTCTTTAAATTAAAAATACAAGAAAAAGAATAACACCTGAAGCCACTGCATGTCCTTACTGGCAAATCTTACATGAAGAAAGAGAGAAAAAAAATCCTTTGAAAAGGTACCTGTTTCAATCTTAGAATTATCAAAACTATATGAAAGAAATTAAGTAACCTAATTGAAGACAAATGTAAAATTTTCAATGTTCAAAGTATAGTAAGTGATCTGAAAAACAGGGATTTAAATGAAAGGCTATACCCTCCGCTCTAATTGCATAGCTACTATCTTGATATTTCAACAATACAGTTCACATTCTTTTCATGACTAAGTGGGCATATCACAATTTGACAACAGTGAAATTACAAGAGGCTGTTTAACCATTGGTTTGTTAGAAGCTGCTTTGTTACAACACATTTCATTACAGCGAAAGGATATAGCGCTGGCATGATTTATACCAACAAAGACGGCTACACACCGCATTACGCTGGACCACTCTCTTTTAAATTTATGTGGTTCACCTAGATGCCTGTCAATGCAGGGGTATAATAATCCAATCACAGCTGTGGATAAAAAAGAAAGAAAAAAAAAATTAAGTCATCTCCAGTGTTGCTCCAACGTTGTAATGTTGTACTGGCAACATTTAAGCTAAAAGAATCCTACAACCAATATACGCATTTTAAAGATTCTTTAAAAAACAAACAAACAAAAAAACCCTCAAGTTACTTAACATCAGTCACTCATAATTTTAAACTTACCTTCCAAAAGAAAAAAATGAGGATAACACCACTGAAGAAAGCATTGTAAATGATTACAACATTCTAAATTATAACAGACAAAATAGTCTTTAAGTGGATGATTCACAATTTAGCAGATTGGACTCATGCTACTTCTCTACTACTAATATCTATGAGACTTGAAAAGCATCAAACCAGTTAGCAGTTAAGCAGCGTTCTCTCTAAGCTACATAACCATGAAATATGCTATTAAATGCCACAATTCTAAAGAGAAACTAGAGCATAAATGTAAAACAAGCTCATCATACACACAATGTTCTGATGGTTCTGGCTGTCCTGTTACATAGATTAGTGTTGCCCCTACCAGCGTCTTGTCTCAGTCTTCTGCATCTAGCACCTTTTCCTGACACTTCTTTCCACCCCAGCCCTCTAATGAGACTGTACGTCATGTTGTCAAAGCAGGAAAACTCGCAACAGAAATCTACATTTACGACTCATTCTGCACATAGAAAAAATGGAGGAAACATGTTCTATAGGAATTACAAATTTTCAATTAAAATTTAAACTCACAGTTAAAAGATAAGAAGAAATCATTTTAGCACATTTCTTAGTTCTGGAAAGAACATCTTGAATGCTTACTGTGTAATTAATTATAAATAACTGTATATAAAATGTCTATGACTGAGACTCAAAATACTCCCATGCAATTCTTAAATACATGTCAAACATCAATATTTTATTCATTTAGTGGGAGAGGATTTTAAATCCTAAATTAGCCATTTAAAAAAAGACTATTTAATGAATCAAAACATTCTTCAACAAATTATAAGGAAAATGTACTTCCACAGATTAAATTTAACAGGAAATAGATAGGCAGTTTTGATTTACTAATCTTCCTAAAAACAGAATGATTATGCTGCCATTCTGGTAATAAAAGATACACCGTCACATCAGTTAAAAACACGTTTAAAATGTCTAATACCACCTACAATGTATCATAAAATTATTATATCCAAATCTAAGTGCCTGAGGGTCAGAAGCCCCTCCTCTGCCTGGTACTGGCTAGCTATATCTCACAAGCAATGCATTTGATCTTCAAAGAAAAATGGGAACCAATTAATATCAAAAATCATGGGCTGGCTGGTTAGCTCAGTTGGTTAGAGCACAGCCTTATAAAACCAAGGTCAGGGGTTTGGATCCCCATACCGGCCAGTCATGCCCTGCTCTAAAAAAAATTAGTACCAAAACTCACAGGGTAGCAAACCAATAGAGCAACATTTGAAAGGGCCTGCATGACCACCCTTCCATCTGGAGATGAGATGATGTAATAATGTGTGCATTTTCTGGTCCACAACTCTTTTGAGTCAGGCATTTGCTGAGTATAGATAGTTCACAGATCAAGAGATTAACGGCAGATCTCAGCAATGCAGAGCTCCAGTAACTATTAGCAAATTTAAAAGTTTCACATTATGGGCCGGCCCGTGGCTCACTCGGGAGAGTGTGGTGCTGATAACACCAAGGCCCCGGGTTCGGATCCCATATAGGGATGGCCAGTTCGCTCACTGGCTGAGCGTGGTGCTGACACCACCAAGTCAAGGGTTAAGATCCCCTTACCGGTCATCTTTTAAAAAAAAATAAAATAGAATAAAAAATAAAAGTTTCACATTATGATCCTATTTAGAAGACTGCTGTAAAATCCTGCGAGATTAACTGACAGCATCTCTAAATTTCTACACCATTAAAATCGTAACAAGCACGCATAACAGTGAAGTATCTGAGTGAATATTACCCCTTTGTTTCTCAAGAGGTCACAGAACTAAAAAGCTCATCTGTCATTCCCTCCCCATATATACATATATATATATATATATATACACATACACACATATACCTTTGCCCGTTGCTGAGTAAAATCAACTAATAGCAGGCATTCCAAGTCAATTTTCCTCAGCAGCTGATGCCATAAGTAAAAAATTACCACACAGAGAATACTGACATGTCTGTGCAATGACATAAATAAGTAAAATTGACTATAGGTTTTTGTATATGATGTCAGACTTACGAGTGAGAGACAACTTAGGAAAGAAAGCAAAAACACAAAAAAGGAATTTAAACTGCCACACTGCCAACCTTGGGATTTGCCAATAAAAATCAAATCCATTGAGTATGCATGGTTCTTGGCTGCTCACTGAGAGGGATAACTCGAGGAAGCTTGTCACTTCCCATAAAATGTCTTCTTTCTTTCCTTGAAATAAAGGCATGGCAGAGTCTGATAGCAATATATAGAGCACTGTGAGGTTCCACTGTTTGAGAGCTCAGCAGAATATGTCTGGGCTTCTTTTCCTCTTCTTGCACTTTTTTTTTTAAACAAGAAAATTAAAATCATGCCTGTGTAAAATCATATGCAAACACAGTCTTGCTTAATCTTATGGTTCTCTGATGCAAAATCACATATCTTGTGATATCTTTAAGTTATTTCGCAGTGACTGGTTGCAGTCTACCAAGGCTAAAGACAAAAAAGTTCACAAAACATCAGTAGTAAGTTATCGCTTATTCAAAGTAGTGTGCTTAATGCAGTGAGACACTAAAAAGAGCACAGTTAAATCAGACACTTTACAAGGAGAGAGGGCAGGGGCTCGAAAAAAAAAAAAAAGCAAAAACTACCGAATGAGATATACTTTTGTGGAAAACCACATCAGGGTAAGGAAATGTTTTCATTCAACAAATACTTAAGACCCCTTAGTGTGTCTGGTCTTTGGTATTTGATGGGGATTAAAAAAGCAAAAACACTAAGACATAATTCTAGCCACAAAGTCACCATAGAAACAATTAAATATAACTTTGTGTTAGAGCGAGCACTGACAGGGCACAGAGGGGGTCCCAGTCTTCTCCTCACACATGTTGAGGGGGAGACAGGATGCTGGACTGTCAGAAAATCTACAAAGAGGTGACCCTTGAGGTAGGAGCATTCAGCAAGTGAATGGTGTGGAAGGAGCTTTCTCATCAAAGGGAGGCATTTGAAGAAAAGCATGGACAACTGAAAATAGCCAGTATTACCAGGAAACTGTAAACTTTAGGCATGAAGGGAGCATTAGAGTGCAGAAAGACTTGGAGGAAGATAATGGTAGGCAAGCAGACTTTACCCTGCAGACACTGGGGAATGAGGATAATAATGCCACTGCATTTGTACTTGGGAGAAAGAGGCTCTCATTTTCACAGCAGTGAATGTACAACACAAGCGGGGGGTGGGGGGGGTGACAAAATTAGAGAGAAACTTCAAGCACAGTGGTTGAGAGCCTGGACCAAGGAAGAGAGAGAGGAAAAGTGTAAAACTTGGAAACTGGATATGGAAGGTAAGAGAAAGGCAGGAGTCTTACAGGGCTCTCCAGGAATGAAGTAATGGACTATATGACTAAACAGAAAAGATTTTTCTTTTCTATTTATTTTTTTGAGATAATTATATATATATGTGGGATACAACATTGATTTTCAATAGTTGTGTACCATGTGTGATGGTTAGATTGGGAAGCAATCCTAACACTCATATGGAGCATCAAAAGACACCAAACAGCAAAAGCAATCCTGAGCAAAAAAAGTAAAGCCAGAGGCATTACACTTCTTGACTTCAAACTATATTACAAATCTATAGTAACAAAAACAGCATGGTATGGGCACAAAAAACAGACATGTGGACAAATGGAACAGAATAGAGAACCCAGAAGTCAACCCACAGACTTACAGCCAACTGCTCTTTGACAAAGGCGACAAGAACATACATTGGGGAAAAGACTGCCACTTCAATAAACAGTGCTGAGAAAATTGGACATGCATATGTAGGAGAGTGAAACTTGATCCACACCTCTCACAATATACCAAAATTAACTCAAAATGGATTAAAGACTTAAGTATAAGACCTGAAACTTTAAAACTTCTAGAAGAAAACACAGGGGAAACACTCCAGGATTTAGGACCGGGCAAAGATTTTATGAATAACACCCCAAAAGCACAGACAACAAAATAAAAAATAAACAAACAGCATTATATCAAATTTAAAAGCTTCTGCACAGCAAAGCAAACAATCAACATAGTGGAAAGACTATGTACAAAATGGGAGAAAATATTCACAAACTGTGCATCTGATAAGGGATTAATATCCAGAATATACAAAGAGCTCAAACAACTTTACAGCAAAAAAACCAAATTATCCAATTACAAAATGGTCAAAGGAGCTGAATAGACATTTCTCAAAGGAAGACAAAGAAATGGCCAACAGGTAAATGAAAAAATGCTCAACATCACTAATCATCAGGGAAATGCAAATCAAAACCACTCTGCTTAAAATCCTGCCATTATGGGCCGGCCCGGTGGCACACTGCTACAGTGCGCCGCTTGGGAAGCGCGGCAGCGCTCCCACCAAGGGTTCGGATCCCACATGCAGACCGGCCACTTACTGGCTGAGCGAGGTGCGGGGGCAACACCGAGGGTTGCGATCCTGTTGCCGGTCCCGGTCCGGTACGGGCGCGACACTGAGGGTTGCGATCCGTTGCCGGTCACGAAAAAAGACAAAAAAGGAAAAAACAAAAAAACCACTCTGAGGTATCACCTCACTCCAGTCAGACAAGCTATTGTAAAAAAGATAGAGGCAGTAATTTTCCCAATATAGATTTTTGTTGCCTTTGTCCAATATCAGATGTCTGTAAGCCTGAGGGGTGATTTCTGGGTTCTCAATTCTACTCCACTGGTCTGAATGTCTACTTTTATATCAGTACCATGCTGTTTTGGTTACAATAGCATTGTAGTATAATTTGAAGTCAGGTAGTGTTATGCCTCCGGCTTTATTTTTTTTGCTCAGGATTGCTTTGGCTATTCGGGGTCTTTTGTTGTCCCATATGAAAGGTAAGATTGTTTTTTCCTTTTCTGTGAAGAAAGTCATTGGTATTTTGATGGGGATGGCATTGAATCTGTAGATCATTTTGGGTAGTACAGACATTTTCACAATGTTAATTCTTCCAATCCAAGAGCATGGAATATCTTTCCATCTTTTTGTGTCTTTTTTAATTTCTTTCAGAAGTGGTTTGTAGTTCTCATTGCAGAGGTCTATAAAGCCAAGACATGGAACCAATCTAAATGTCTGTCGATGAATGATTGGATAAGGAAACTGTGGTATATATACATCATGGAATACAATTCTGCAATAAAAAAGAATGAAACACTCCCATTTGCAACAACATGGATGAGCCTGGAGAAACTTATGTTGAGTGAAATAAGCAAACACAGAGGGACAAATACCACATGTACTCACTCATATGTGGGAGCTAAGACAGAAAGAAGGATGGAAAGAAAGACCACAGTAGTGCATTGGACTTGCAGATAGAGATAGCATTCCCTGGGCTACAAAGTGAAGTGGGGGGGAAAGGGACAGGGGGAGGGAGGCTGGGGATAATTGGGTGGGGGACACAGGATACAAATGCAATTTGTGGCAATGGGTATACTGCCGGTATGAATCTGACCCTCACATCATGGGCACGAGGAGCGACAATCAGCTCTGTATTTCATGAATATTCATAACAATAATAAATAAATGCACACCAATATTTATTTTTGAAGATGCCAGATTTAAAAGAAACTTCAAGCCAAATTTTAAAAACCTAGCAGGCTTCAATAAAGAGAAAGTTGTATTTATTGAAAAAAAAAAAAGAGAGAGAATAACAAATACTAATGAGGACATAAAGAAAGAGGAACCCTTCTGCACTGTTGGTGGGACTGTAAATTAGCCATTATGGAGAACAGTATGGAGGTTCCTCAAACAAATGCAAACAGAACTACCATATGATCCAGCAATCCCACTGCTGAGGATATATCCAGAGGATTGGAAATCATCATGTCAAAGGGATACCTGCACTTCCATGTTTATTGCAGCTCTATTTACAATAGCCAGGCAATGGAACCACCTAAATGTCCTTCGATGGATGTCTGGATAAGGAAAATGTGGTATATATACACAATGAAATACTACTCAGCCATAAAAAAGAATGAAATTTGCCATTTGCAGCAACATACATGAGCCTGGAAAAAATTATCGTAAGTGAAACAACTCAGGTACAGAAAGAGAAATACTGCATGTTCTCACTCATAATCGGTAGTTGAATATACAAATGAACATATAAACAATAGAGTACTAGGTGCTCACTACAGATCCAGTTCACATCTACTATAAGATCTTTAAAACGTTTAATCTTTATCAATTAATTGCAGAGCTACCAAGATTATAAGGAACTTGAAGAAAGGTGTGAAAAACAAAGGACACTGAAGGAGGAGCTTTTGGTGTCCCTTTTCTCCTCGTGGGTTTACTTGACCCAGAATAGTGAGGTCAAAAAGAGAGCCATTCGTACAAGATTACTTGAATGACAATAAAGTGTACACGGGAGGTCAGTAAGGTAAAGGCTGGTCTTTTCAACTAATGGTTTTAGGACAACTAGATATTCCCCCACATAAACAAAATGAAACAAAACAAAACAAAAATAAATAAATAAAATAAAGATAAATTATGCTTATGTATGTAAAAAACAAATAAATAAATAAAGAGAGATAGAAAGAAAGAAACAACAATCACGGTAATACCCTGAACTTTTAGGAAGAGAGAAAAGAACATGGTTACTAGAGGTGGAAAAAAGGAGGGGAGGAGGAGAGGGAGGAGGTTAACAAGGAATTGGTTAATGGACACAAAGAATGATTGAGTATTGGAATGATGAATAAGCTAACTAACCTGATCTAACCATCACACATTACACATAACTTTTCTTTTCAAATTAGATATTACTTTTATAGTTTTGAACACAACCTGGCTACTTGTGATTTTTGAGGTAACTTCTCTACTTATTTTACCCACACAGTGACATAGTTGTCTTTTTTCTATTTACTCTTTAGAAAGATTCCTTTGTGGCCGTCAATAATGCTAAAGAGGTGACTAATTCCAATCTAGTGCACTGCACACATAAAGAAGTTAATCAACTTGTACAATCAGCATTATTAAACTAAAAACAGGGAACTAAAAAAAGGAAATGAGATCAAAAGAAATTTACCAGAGTGCTCTATTAGTTGTCCCACCAGAAGTATCACTAGCAAATTTTCTAGGACTGTGTTACAGGGAGAGGTAGCAAATAACCAGGGGCCTTTCTGTTTACAGTTCGAAAGTGGTGATTCTGGAGACCCTCCAAATGATAGCTGCTCAGTCCATGAATGTTAAGTTGGAAAGGAAAATAAACGGACAATTATCAGGTTTTCTAACTTAAGATGGTAAGAACCTAGAAAAGTTTTGAAAACACCAACACATATACACAAAACATATACACACACAAACTCATACACACTATGCTTCTTACATCATTTACTTCTTTATTTCCCTTGATATTTTCCCTAAAATGATGATGGGAGTAGGAGGAGAGCAGAGATTATGCAAGAGTCCATTTTCCATCCTTGGCAACTTTCACAAACTTGATATCTTCATTCTCATCTACTAAACATCATAACCTATCCAATAAAGTCAGAAGCAGAGTTAAATAGAATCTACACATCCTAATGCCTCTCTACTTTATTTTGCCCAGGAATCTTATGGAACACATTGATTTCAGAAGAAATACTTAAACAAGAAATGAAAATGCAAACCTCCCAAAGAAAAGGTGTGAGGTTAAGTTTATAAGTGTGACAAATCTAGTGGCTGGGAAAAGGAAGGAAAGTAGGGACAACACAGCTGAACTGTAGTATCGACATTTGGAATTTTCCTTCCTAAATGTGAATTTGTGGCAAAAGTGCCCCCATTACAGGGACAGAAGGACCAGGCAGCAGATGCAGCCCCGTACCTCTCCATAATGGAGGTACAATGAAACCTTAGTCAAGTTGTCCTGCCTCAGCCCAGAACACACAATGCACACCAGTCTATTCCATCCAGACCTGGCACCAGTCTGAAAGCTTGAAATGAGGTATCCTGAGCAGGAGAAAGTGTAAGTGGCTCCCTCTTTCCCCTTCCCCAGCATGTGACATTTGAGCCCAGCCCCACCACTCACTGACTGTGGGATGCTGAACTCATTGATTTCTTCTCTTCATCTAGGTGTCCTCATCCCCTCAAGAGGCACAATGTCACCATCTCTCTCCCAAACTTGCCCTACAGAGCCCTGGGGTTAAGGAATGTACCTGACATATTAGCAGACATTCAATAAATAATAGTTTCCTTCCTCTGACCTTCCTTTTGTATATCCCGAAAAGATATGCTTCTGCTGGCAGCCAATCAGAGACTGTACTATAAGGAGAAAATAAACAAAGAACTAGAAAACACTGTTGGAAGAACTTTATCTTCTGAATTTAAAGAAAGGAAAATACATGAGGACCAGCAGATACAATAGTGATTGATAAAATATAATTTATGCTTTCTTCTCTTAGTTTATCAGACTATTTTGCCTATTCTCTTAGAGAATGATAACCCTGGGGACAGTAAAAATCATTGCCTTTATGACTTCTCTTTTAATGTGAATATTTTAATAGTGAGACATCAATATATAAGCCACACTGAAACCTTACCACAACAATGCCCTTCTACCATGCAACAGGATTATATAATTGTCCAGTAGGTTTCACAAGGTCATTCCAAAACGTCTCACAACTTTGACCTCACCCTTCGAACTCACCCTTCAACTTCCAGCTCTAGGATGTAAGCCAAGAAGGACCTATACTATGTTGCAAGGTATTCATGTATATTAAATATGAGATATCAAATGCACATTCAAAAAAGCAATTTTCTCCCTTAATTAGAATTATCTTCTATCACATGATTACGGCTCCCTTCTATTACTTTATTATATAAAATAGTATTAATCTGTTGGTCTCAGTCATTAGAAAAAGCTAAAGAGCTATACATTATGAAAACTTGGCATCAATAAAGCATTCTGAAATGCTCCATTGTACTCATTACACATTGTCCACCATCAAAAAAAGATCTTAAGTAACTAACAGGACAAAAATGATTTTAAGCAAAGAAAGTCTACGTTATAAATCCTTTGAATATTTATTATTCTTAAGGTACATTTAAAAAAAAGACACCAAGGAAAGAAGCATATACAAAAATTTAAAAAATATAACATGAATCATTAAACTTGAATAAAATTATTTCATTTTTCAAGTTTTTATCTACTTCAAAAACAAGACCAAAGTACACACATCAGACCCTTAAAACTAAACAATGGTGATCATCATAAAATACCTTCATATAAGACTTAGATGAGTTGGGTTGAAGAAAGGACAAAATTAAAAGGTTAAATGCTTCATTCCTAAGGGAATCAGCACTGTTTTAAGGATTAAATTTTAAAAGTTCATAGATCAGATGGAAACCAGACACAAAAGAGGACATACTCGATGATTCCATTTATATTACATTTTAGAACAGGAAGAAATAATCTATGGCGACAAAAAGTAAATCAGTGGTAGCCTGAGGCTGGGATTGGGGAATGGGCTGCATGGAACCATGAGAGAATTTGGGGGATGATGGAAATGTTCTATAGCTGGATTGCTGCAGTGGTTACATGACTATATGCATTTGTCTAAACACATCAAATTGTTCACTTAAATTGTTCACTTAAAACAATTGTATTGTATTTAAATTATACCTCAGTAAAGCTAATTTTTTTTAAAAAATTAATTGCTCAAATAACATCCAAACGAAATTCATTTACCCTATTTCTTTTTGAAGCATTACAGAAACATCCCACACATACCTGAAGCTGTGCCACAGCATGGTGGTACCCACCATGCAGAGGAAAAAATGCTTGCAATCACATCAGGTGGAAAGAGCGTCACATTTCTCTGAATCTGAAGCAAATTTAACACTAATGCAAGAAATACTCCAATAAAAAATAGCACTACTCCTCGAATCATCAAGTTCATACTATGGCTAGTGATAGATGAAATATAAGGGCCACATTTTTTGGGCCCAGGCGACTCTGTCTCTCCTTCCGCCATGGTTTCATAAGTTCAGTAAGCTGTAAAAAAAAAAAAAAAAAAAAAAAAAAAAAGAAAGAAAGAAAGAAAAGACTTCCCAGTTGAGAAACTCAACCGTCTATGAATCAAAGCAGACTGACGTACCACATCCTGTCCTAAAGTAGGACCTACCAGAAATCCTGTAAGAGATAAGAAAACAGAAATCAATGTGTGTCTAATACATCATTTATCTAATTTTCCTAATTTCAATAGTTAATTTACAAGCAAATGAAATGACAAGTTTGTGTGCTAATTTATTTAAATTAGTTATTTACTGAATAAGAAAAGGTTCAAAAAGTATTTTTATATGCACGGTGTAATAAAAAAATAATGTGTTATATTTACATATACTAGGACAGAATAAGTAACCTAAGAGACCTAAAGTTTCAAATAATAGTAAAAACATCTTGCCCCACCTAAAAAAAAGCAGAAGAGGTAACCTGAGACACTTCCACTAGAATCTGGAAGATCAAAACCCAGGTCTCTGTTTCCTCTCCCTAAACCTCCAAACCTATCAGTTACAGTAGAGTACTTTATACTTTATAGAAAATCAACACATTCTGACTGTAGATGCATTTCTCTCACAATAAAATGTGACTTCCTCATGAGGACAACCTCCATAGAAGAACAAAATTACCTCTTTTAATGTTTAGTGCTTATACATATATTAGAATTTCTGTACAAAAGTGTTCTACAAAAACCAGACTACCAAGAACTTACCTACACATACACCAAGCACAGAAACCAGACCTGACCCACTCTCCCAGGGCCACAGCTGTGTCCCACCCCTGCCTCAACTCAGTCTGCGCTTGTTGCAATATGGGAGCAACCGTGAGAAAGCCAGAAGCAGCAGCTAAAGAAAAGACATCAAGTAAATAGAGAACTACCTAATGGTAGCTCTAATGCCATTAGTTCCTAATGGCAGGATTCTAAGGAGTTTTATCCATGCGGTCCCTGACTCCTGAAACCCAGAATTTTGCTACTACAGTCAGCCTAGGTATTCATTCATTCTTCCAATCAAAGTGATCTTCCCTTTGTGTGTGTTTAAGACAAATAACTTTGGGGCCGAAAACAAACCATTGACTTGCAAAAACTATACCAATTTATCCCAAGGTTTATAACTTAGGTAAACTTAAAATATATAACAACAATAACACAAAAAGTGGAGGTTAAATGGAATTACACTATCACTGCAACCTACAGGTATTAAAACAATAGTGAGAAAACATTGTGAATAACTTCATGCCAATACATTCAACAAATTAGATGAAATGGACAATTTCCTTGAAAAACACAGTTTACCAAAACTGATACAAAAGGAATAGAAAATCTGAATAGCTCTTTATCAGTTAAAGATATTAAATTCAGAATCAAGGGGCCAGCCCGGTGTCGCACTGCTACAGTGCGCCGCTTGGGAAGCGTGGCAGCGCTCCCGCCGAGGGTTCGGATCCCACATACAGACCGGTTCCCGCTCACTGGCTGAGCAAGGGGCGGGCGCAGCGCCAAGGGTTGCGATCCCGTTGCCGGTCCCGGTCCGGTACGGGCGCGACACTGAGGGTTGCAGTCCGTTACCGGACACGAAAAAAGACAAAAAAAAAAGACAAATAACTTTGAAGCTTTCTTTTTTTTTAATTTAATTTAATTTTTTTTATTATACATACATGTGGGGTACAACACTGATTTTCAATAATTGTGTACAATGTATGGTGGTTAGATCAGTATAGTTAGCTTATTCATCGTTACAGTACACTATCATTCTTTGTGTCCCTTGATCAATTCCTCATTAGCCCCCTTCCCTCTCCCCTTTGAAGTTTTCTATGTGCTGTTTTAAGCACCTGACTTATGGTAACATTTAATCCTCACAATAACCCTAAGAGGTAAGTGCAATTATTATGTAAATTTTACAGATGAGGCAAAATGCAAAGAAAATTTACATCACTTGACTCAAGTTTATATCCCTAGTAAGAGGCCGGGCTGGGATTCAAATCCATGCAGTCCGACACCAAAGCTTCATTCTTACCAGGATGTTTAGCCTCCCAAACTGTCGCATATTCTTCTATGTGTTTTCTTTCTATGAATACTAACAGTTTTCAAATAGAAAAATACTACACAGGCTATTTCTGTAATTTACTTTTATCCCACCCAACAACAATATCTTGGGCATCTTCAGAAGTCAGTACATAGTGATATTTCCTTTGAATCCCAAAGCAGTTTATTTAAAACCTTATAATAGCACTTATAATGGCTACTTTTTAATTATATGTATAGTTGCTTTATGGATTATAAACTTTTTATGGAGGTCTTATTCACTATTATATCACCCACTATGTTTATGCACCCAGAAAAGTTCCTACTTAGCCCATAGTTGGAGCTCCACATATTCATACCTGTTTAATTAAACTGGGTTACCTCTTTTTTAATCAAACTATATTGGGTTAAGTAGGTCTTTAGAAAGGAAAACTTAGCATCTAATCATCATTTAAAATACACTCCTCTGAGTTTCGAAGTTTGAAATTACCTTACAAATGAATTTTGGAACAAAACCCAAGTGTAAACTTCAGGGAGTGGGGCTGACATCAGAAATAATCAATATGAAAATGAGGACATTTGTAAAGACTGGTAACCTTCATAGCCTATCAGTTTCATGTGTGAGACAACAGACTTTTTACTGAGCCTCTGCCACACCCAAAGCTCTGTGCCCAAAACTCGAGGGGGGAATTCTGTCCCCAAGCTGGTTCTCACAAACCTACTTAGTCTATAGTGTAACTGATCTCTATGGCTTAGAGGACTAGAGAAAATAGTACATGTTACAGCTAATTCATGCGAAAACATGCTCCAAATGCCAACTGAAAATGCCCAGAAGACATCTCCTTCTGACCTGGTCTTACAGTCTGTTCCTTGCTGTGGTACCCAGGCATATTTAAATTAGCATGTCATATATTCTAGCCACTTTTAGCAAGGTCCAGTAGCTAAAGAATTCTTCATCATCATCATAACTATTGATAGAGCACCCATTTATATAAGGAAAGCCTACTCTATGCCAGGCATATATAGTAACTCTAATCTTCAAATAACCCTAAAAGTAGGAATTATCATCCTCATTTTACAGATGAGGGTACTATGTCACAGAGATTTAACAACTTGCTTATGGTCACATGACACGCAGTATTATAACAGGAATTTTAACTGAGGTCTAACTGATTCCAAAACCATCCTCTTTACGTTCCACCTCAACTGCTCAAACTTCTTTTTTGGCACATGGGTCTATATAAAGGTATCTGGTTACTGAAGAGATGGGTAGACATTGGAAAAACATCTCAACTATAATATATTCTCATTACTAATGCTAGTATGAGTAGGCGACTACCTAACAGCACAAGGACAATAAGAATAAATGTATAAACACCTTGAAATTTTTTGTAAAAGTACTAAATCAAGGTGTAAAAAGATGTTTTAAAGTAAAAAAAAAAAAAAATCAAATGGCTAACTTAAACAGTGTATGAGATCAATAGCTGACTCCTTACTTCCCAAACTCCCTGCAGACCGGGCAAACTCTCCCAACTCTACTGCTAAAACAGCCGCTAGAGTATGAGTATACATTTTGGGTAACCCAAATTGCTCCAGTAAGTCATTTGTTTCTGTTTGTGAATTTATCCAAAAGGGAATTAATAACAAAAGGTATTTTATGTTTAATAATATTTTTTAAAGAGCAAAGCAACTTCTGTTTTAAAAAGCTGTTTCAGTTGTGCTAGCCCCCATCTCACAATCGCTTACCAGCAATTGTGAAAAGGCATTGGCATTTGGGGCAGGACAAGTCCTTGTTGTGTGAAGCTTCTCTAAACATTGCAAAATATTTAGCATCGTTGACTCCTGCCCCCATTTGTGATAACCAAAATTGTCCCCACATTATTTCCAAATGCCCCCAGGGAAGCACTGTCCTCCAACTGAGAGCCACTGATTACTATAGACTTCTATCCTTATTCTATTTCAAGGCTGCTAGAGACTTTCTAAACTGTTTATTTATATTTTCTGCCACAGCTGTTTATTTAACCTTTCCTGGCAGAGCTTGTTTACAATTTCCTACTTCACCGCAAAAGTTTTTTTAAAAAATAACAAAACATTCGTTTGATGTTTATTTGAGTGAGATCCAAAAAGCTAATTCTGTGACTACATCATAACACAGTAGTATATAATTACTGGAGACAAAAATAAAAACCACAATGCTTTAGAATTACAGTATCCTAAAACTTAAGAAATGGCAGATCATCTATTCCAGGGGGCATGCAAGCCCCAAGCAAAATAAAAACAAAAATGTTGTGTATACGTGCATTTTTCTGGGAAGAGTTCCACAATTTATGTCAAATATTCAAAAAGTCCATGATCCAAACAAAGTTAAGATCCAGTGATCTAACAATCCTCCCTCTTTACAGGTAAGGTGAATGAGATACAAAGTGGTCAAGTGAATTGCAAGATCAAGACTGTACTACTGCATCTTATTTCCACTAACATGTACAGTGAATGCCTGAAAATGGCCAGACATCAGAGGAACAGGAAATTCCTCAAGACCGTTCACCCCCTAATACGCAATAATGAAGTTCCTAAAAAAGTATTACAATATCAGCCCCACACCAGGGGAGTGGTTTATTTTAAATGGAATGTCTAAGGAGAAATTATTCCTTAATTTGTTTGTTTTGAAGTTTGTTTTCCTGATTATATATTGGTATTATTGTCATAAAACAAAGTGGACCTATAACTTTAAATATTTCTTATATCAATGATAAATTTCATTTTCCGAAATTTAAAAAAAAAATCTATATTTGAAAAATATGGATTACTTGATAAACAATATGCTGATCAGGGAAAAGTTTCTGGTGTAAAGATACTGTTTCAAAGACAATATCAAATAGATCCTCAACAACAATCCTGGTAAGTAGGCAAAGCTTTTAATCCTCATTTTTCAAAACAAGTGGAGTAACTTTCTGAGATCACAAAACTGTT